ATGCTCAGTTGCTTTGCCTTCTGAACACAGGAAGATGATAGCTCTGCTGCTGATTTACTACAAGGGGACTATCATTTCTCAAGTTGCCATTTTTGTCACCTATCTACATATTTTTACCTAGCAAACTCATTCTGTGAATAATTCTTTCCTCTTCAGTATTTCTTAAATACTTCTATATCCATTGTATTCTGGAGACACTTGGATAGCTTGGTAAGGTGAAATCAAAGTTCTTTGCATGTGACAACTGTGCTGTGAATTTTTTTGGCTAAAATTGCCAGCAATAGTGCCAGAGTAAGTGAGGTGACCTGAGGGAGAGATTTTACAGTGTGTATTTCTTTCCAGACAGGCATTCAGTAAAGGAGCAGAGTGGCTGGCTGCCACCACGTGGATCCCATTGGGCAGCACACGCTCAACTGGATTAGGAAAGGCAGCCTATAAATTAGACAGTTGTAGTTACCATCACCGGTTCCCTGACCCAGATCCTCCTTCCTTCCCCAGGTAACGTGGCCATGATCAACTGTCAGTCTCAGAGTAAATACTCTGAGAGTATTCTCGAAGAAAATAATCTGAGACTGGGTTTGCTTTTTTGGCTGAATTTACCTGAAAATTTGAACACAGTTCTAAAAGATTTACTCAGCTCATTTTTTTTATTCCCCTATTACAATTGGTTGACAGTCCAGAATTTGTAGAATGTAGTATTTATGTATATCACTGATAGTAACAACACCACTGAATAGTATATTCATACTCCCAGAAGTGAGGATCTAATTGTGTTCCCACTTCTGTGTTGAAGGTGAGATCACATGCCAACAGGACACTAATACATACTCCAGTTAACATATGTATTTAAAAAATGATATCAATGCAGAAATTATGGGTAAAAAATGTAGATGTATGTGACATGCATTATTTTAGAGTGAGGCATTTAGCTAGTGTTTTAACAGTGCAGTGTGTTGAGATAAAAATCAGAGTAGACCCACTAAATGGACAGGCTGCCAGCTGATGAGATGGATCTGGACATTATATCTGGTCAGCCTTAATGGCATACTTGAAATATCAACAGAGAATGAAAAAAAAAAAGGAAAAAAAAGTTAGAAATTTTAGAGTAGTGTTCTTTTTTTTTTTCTCAGACACTAGGATAATCTCTAGGAGCACAGTTCAAATGTATATTCACTTTCAAGATCAGCACTTTTGCTGAATACCAAATTTGTAAATAATGTAGCAATATTAAACACCCAAATATAAAGAAAACCACAAAGAAACTTGGTTTGCTAAAAAAAATAGTAATAGAGAAAATCTGTTCTAGACTATAAATTTCAATTGCAATTTGTATGTAGCATAATAATTTTAAAATGTTTATCTTATTTGAGAAAGTACAAACACTGTAATACTCCAACATGGATACAGTGGCTGATTTAGCTTAGAACAACTTGGAAAATATATGTAACAACAAATTCCCAAATAGTGAAAAAATGTAGATGTACTTCTAAAACCTTTTGGGTGCCAGTCAGGTCATTTTGATTGTATAACAACATCACACACCATTTGCTCATGCTCCCAGTCTGTTCCAGAGGTAACATTTCTGAGACAACTAAGCCTCAGACAGACATGACATATTGTGCATATTTTGTGCTGAAAGAGTGGCAGATTCTAATTCCCTGCATCATCTGTCTCTCAGGAAGGAGGAACTAGATGCTGCTTTTCATTTTGACATCACCACTTTTGCCCCAACTCCTAGTTTCCTTGACACAGACAGAAAAATAACAATCCATTATAGCTGGAGTTGAAACTATCAGGAGTTTTGCTTTCCCTAAGCCTCAGAAGTAATTATACTATGTCTTTTTGTGAGGTTTAAATGTTAGGCATCTGAATCATAGAATCATAGAATCACAGAATCATAGAATCATTAAGGTTGGAAGGGACCTTGAAGATAATCTAGTTTGAACCCCCCTGCTGTGGGCAGGGACACCTCTCTCCCACTAGCCCAGGTTGCTCAAAGCCCCATCCAGCCTGGCCTTGAACACCTCCAGGGATGAGGCATCCACAACTTCCTTGGGCAACCTCTTCCCATGTTTCATCACCTCATGGTGAAGAATTTCTTCCTAGTATCTAATCTAAATCTACTCTCTTTCAGTTTCAGGCCATTTCCCCTTGTCCTATCACTACAGTCCCTTGAAAAAAGCCCTTCTCAGCTTTCTCTAGGCCCCCTTCATGTACTGAAAGCCTGTTATTAGGTCACCCCTGAGCCTTCTCTTTTCTAAGCTGAATAACCCCAGCTCCCTCAGCCTGTGCTCCAGCCCTCCTCTGGACTCACTCCAGCAGATCCATGTCTTTTTTGTACTGTAGGCTCCAGAACCGGATGCAGTACTCCAGATAGGGTCTCACCAGAGCAGAGTAGAGGGGGAGGATCACCTCCCTCAATTTGCTGGTCACACCCCTTTTGATGCGGCCCTGGACATGGTTCAGTTTTTATGCTGCAGGTGCACACTGCCGGCTCATGTTGAGTCTCTCATCAACTAACACACCCAAGTCCTTCTCAGGACTGCTCTCAATCTGCTCTCCACCAAGCCTGTATTTGTGCTTGGGATTGCCTTGACCCCAGTGCAGGACCTTACATTTGGCCTTATTAAACTTCATGAGGTTGGCCTGAGCCTACCTCTCAACCCTGTCAAGGTCCCTCTGGATGGCATCCCTTCCTGCCAGCATGTCGACCACTCCACACAACTTGGTGTCAGTGGCAAGCTTGCTGAGAGTGCACTCTATCCCAATGTCCCGTGTTGTCAACAAAGATATTAAATAGCACTGGTCCCAGTAACGATCCTTGCAGGACACCACTCATCACTGGTCTCCATTTGGACATTGAGCCATTGATCACAACTCTTTGAGTGCAACCATCTACCCAGTTCCTTATCCATCAAGTGGCCCATCCAGTAAACCCATGTCCTTCCAGTTTAGAGACCAGGATGTTGCGTGGGACAGTGTCAAATGCTTTATGTAAGTCCAGGTAGGTGACATCAGTTGCACTTCCCTTACCCACTGACGCTGTAACATCATCGTAGAAGGCCATCAAGTTTGTCAGACACAATTTGTCTTTGGTGAAGCCACGCTGGCTGCCACCAATCACCTCCTCTCCATTTGTGTGCCCTAGCAGCTTTTCAAGGAGGATCTGCTCCATGATCTTGCCACGCACAGAGGTGAGACTGAGGGGCCTGTAGTTCCCCAGATCTTCCTTTTTCCAGTTTTTGAAGATGGGGGTTACGTTTCCTCTTTTCCAGTCAGTGGGAACCTCTCCAGACTGCCACGATTTCTTAACACACAAGACTATCCCTAAACCCTTGTGCAAGCGTATGGAGCCTGCCACCATTTTTTCATACTTAAAATTCATGCTTCATTCAAAGACAATTTAGTTTCTTAGGTTTCAGGGTTCTAAACTGTAAGCAGCATTTCATTTAAAAATTACCAATAATGTTTTATTCAGCCATTGGCCATATTTGTTGCACTATGGTAGTTAGTACAATATCAGTAAATGGCCACTTGTAGAGGGACGGACAGAATTCTGCTTGTGGAAGGAAGTCCTAGTTTAATGGGATAAAGCTTTATCCCCCTGTTATGCTTTTGGAGCAAGATGAAGTTTTATACTCCCAGCTATTATGCCTTTGGAATGCAATGAACTTTTAAAAAAGAAAAAAGGAAAAAGGATAAAAATGAGGGAAATAGGTAAAAAGCTAAATTAAATGAGAAGCTTTGTGATTTTAGGTATTTGTTTACTTCCTTGCATGCCATTCTGTTTCTAAAAAACAAAGTGAGAAAGTAAACATAAAAAAGAAGTTTAATCTGTAACCACATTAATTATTCTGTGCTAATCAGGAAAAAGAAATGAACATGCTGAAATATCTGCCATGTGATATGAGTACATCTGTCCGTCTGAAACTCCATTAAATTGGGGAGATTATTGGTGGTATAGTTATGCCTATTACCTTAAGCAGCTCGGGAGAAATCAGCACTTTTTGCATTCAATCTTGATCAATACTGAAGAAGCAGAAGATAAATTTTGAAAACACTGCCCTTTTCCAAGGTAGTACATAGGATAAAATGAAAACAGACTCCATATGCCAATGGAAAAGAAACTCTCTTTTAAATGCTGCCGAGTCTTACATATATTTATGATGAACATCACTTGCATGTCAGTATTTTCTAAAGATACCTTTTTTGTGATTTCATTTTGATTTGTTCATCTGCTGAAACATTTCTCATGAACACCCCTCCCCTTTGGTGTAATGCACTGGGTGGCACCAGGAGGTTTAACTTAAATAGAAAACTGGTGTTTTCCTGATCACTAGCCAAAGGAATCCTGAGGAGATAGTATATGAAATACAGTCCTTTGTTCTGTTTGCACTAACCTGAGCACAGTCTTGCTTTCGAATAAATAAATGAAGCAAAATTCTAACAATGGATCTACCGTCTCCAAAGAATTGCATCACATAGTTTAGCATAAAGGTGGCTGTGAGTGGCAGAGAAAACACATTGGATTAGATCCTTATGAAGCACAGAAGATGAAGGTCTTACCCGGTATTATTAGACTTGATGCTCAGCGTGAAGTTAGGTAAAAAGTATTTAGGTCTAAAAGCAAACCAATGGATGAGAAAAAAAGAAGTGACATCTTATGTCCCAGGTATAATAATGAACTCATGGTGGATACCTGGGAGGGTATCCCTGTCACTCAGTTAGTAAAAAGGAACCATTTAAAATGTTCTTTATGTGCAAGACAATTTAGTGTTACAGATTTCTAGTTAAATAATTGCAAAGCTATGCCAGAAACATATTCTGAAGCTGATACCCCAATATGAGGTGAAAAAAATATTTTTGTGACCATTCTTTGTGATGAAGGAGTTCCTCTATCCTGACCCATTTACTGAGCACACACACATGATCTAATTGGACATCATCTGATCAAAGTTAGATACCTGACTTTGGATTATGAGAATCACAAACTTGCTTACGGTCTATCTGGTCTGCAAACACTTCCCCATAGATCATCCAGTAAGGCATGTAAAAAATGTTTTTCGCCAGCTTCCATGAAGGCTCCTCATTGGGGAAAAGAATAGCTTGTCTTGCGACACCAAAGCTCATCAGAACCACCAACATGATGATGACAAAGTACATCATGTCTATCATATGAATGTAATGACAGGAAAAGAGAGAGAAAGAGAAACAAGGGACAAGAATTAGAGGAATTTATTTATCCATATTCCCATTATTATATGCTAAGAAAAAAAATCTGTACATTTTAGAATTTTCAAAAACAAATTTTGAAAACTTATTCTCACTTTTATACATAACAAATTTTTTTTTCAAAGAAGTGAAGTGGTATTATTGCATCCTTGGTTTTACCCTGTGTGTTTTTAAGAACAATTTAAATGCTATGAATAGGCTTGAAAATACAAGATACCATCTGGTTACACAAGTTCCCTGAACAAGAATATAGCTTGACTGGAACCAGCAGCCTGGTCTGGGCAAGGGTCTGGAGATGATGTATTCTTTATAGGCACCTAGTGGCAACTGTAACAAAACAAAAGGACTGATATGGGTCATTTTATTCACTGGTAGGTGTTGTCTTGGAGCAGAGGAGGAAAGCTGCATCAAACATACAGAGTAACTGGTGGCAGAACAGCCTGTTACTGCAACATGAGGGACACCATGGTGGTAAACAGTGAGAAATGAAAGCTGTAATACAGGCTGGACTAGAAATCAGCTTGGTGGGGGAGTCTGACACAGGACGTATTTAAAAAAAAAAAGAAGCAAGTAACACAGACACTCTATTCTTCTCCATCGTTGAAGGCCTTATTAGCATATCCACAAATTTAATTAGTGCTTGCAAATGGTGCCTACCCATTAAAAATGTTCCTAGAAAAAGTGGGACAGCAATCCTAGGAGGTGCTGAATAGAAGCTGAAGATTAGAAGAGGAGCTATGTTAGAAAAGACCTTCCAGAGAGCAGAGCATCAAAGAGGTACGGCAGAGATGCTTTATAACCCAAAACCCAAATGGGAGTCCTCTAATGTCCCTGGTAAGATGCCTTTAAAAACTTTAGTTACAGGTTTACTTATTGGTCTTAAGTTATAAAACTTGTTATGGCAGAGCTGCTTTTCACAGCTTTGGATATAATTTTTGTCTCTGACCAAAAATTAGCCCCAAACTCATCTAAACCCTATGACTTCTAAGTCCTTTAGTTTCTGCATTTTCTGTCTCAGATGCATTTTACTTTCCCTGTAAGGCAGGTGTGCAACCAACCTGTACCTCAATGGGTGGCCTTATCGCTCCATGGGGGACCTGCTACAGCTTAAGAGCAGGGCAGCTCATGACAAGAGATGGTGGGAGAGGGGGACTCATTTGCAGCAGATGGATCTGGTGCTGCTGCAGGTGCTCTTCAGTTTTAAAGCACGAGAGAGACCTGAGGACAAAGTAACACTGGAGATGTAACTAACAGAGAAAAGAGAGAGGTACAGAGGAGCAAACAGAAAAAGATATCCTTGTATTTACTGAGAGGGAGAGAGGAGAAAGATGCCTGTAGGGCAGGAATCTTGTAGGAGAGACTCAAGAAACTAGAGAGAAGGAACTAGGGACAAGTGAAAAAAAGCAGAGGGAAACAAAAGTCTTGAGGTACATAAAAATGCAGTAAAGAAATTTTAAAAAATGAGTACATAAGAGACGAAAATAAATCTCTTAAAGAATTAAAAAATGGACAAGTAAATAACCAGCATTCCCTTATTACTCAGAGCATTACTCTCTCAAGATTTAAGAGGAATTCCAGATCATTGTACCTCAGAGAGCATCCTGAAATGGGAAAGCTGCACAGTTGCATTTAGTTCTCCCTGCTTTTAGGGAAGGAATTTGGAGATGAAACCTCGTTCCTCCTCTCCTCTCTGATGAAACTTTGTTTCAGGTAGAAATATATAACACGATATGATGTAATATAATACCTATTTTAAAATGTCATCCAACCAAATAAACATAATGAGTGTTTGTTGGCAATTTAATACAATTTCTTAAAAACTTCCAGTGGTTTTGATGAGCAGTCACAGAGGTTTGACCTCATGTTGCAACAAACAAAAATTTTAGTGCTATTCTCTATTCAAGCTGTATATTGACTTTTCCTCCTTCAACTGGGTATCTTTCTTAAACCTCAGTAGCCTGTCTGAAATCTAGTGAAATCGATGGGTGAGTTTCAACTGACTCTAATGGACATCGTATCAGGTCCTTTAGCCTGTAAAGTAAAACTACAATTGCAAATTTAACAAGGCAACAGCTGTTTCAATCATTCTGAGGAACCCATTAGTCACCTCTTTAAAAAAGTGATAAAACGTGGAACTGTTGGTGCAGTTACATAAACAAGCTGGCTCCATTTCCCCTTTTTTATTTGGAGAGAAGGTAAGAAAATGTAGACATTCCTACCCAGTAAGGGAACGGATATACCTCTGACCAATCTTGACATGCCACAGTGATTTGATTTCAGTCCCAAATAACAAGTAGTAAATCTATAACTGCACAGAGATCAGAAAAGCACATTATACTAGTATATTCTGCTACTAAAATTAGTAGATAATAATAAACTTGGCCATTTGATTCCTCCTATCTTCACTTCAGGGCTTTGATTTTAAACTGCTCAAGCCCATTCCTGCCCCTTGCTTAATTTCACTTGTGTATTTATTCACAGTGCCCAGAGGTAAAGCCTTTTACAGCTATTTTGTTGGATACAAGGAAATGAAAGTTGCTCAATGTTGGAAATATGGAGTCATCTTTTTTCCTCCAGAGTCTGAAACTTATTCACAATAGAAGCTCAGGATAAAAGCTCAGGCATTAAACATTGTTGAGGAACTCAACAGCTGTAATGGGCTTACTCTGTGGAAATACATATAACCAGCTTGATGTTCTCCATAGGATTGAATGGTATTTGTAAGACCATGAAATGAAAAAGACAGAACCCAAGGAGGTAAATTAATATATGATTTAAACAAAAATATACAAGGGAGACCACTGCAGTCTGGACATGCATGACATAAATGGGCTGGCCATTACACAGGAAAATAAATTGTCCAGAAAATAGCTGAGAGAGGCAAATTTCCGTAACTCAAACTAGTTGGGCATTGCATGTCTGGGCAAAGTGGATGTGTCAGAGTAGCTGAGTGTATGGAAAGCTGGATGAGGTAGGAAAATCAAAGAACAGGAAGGCACAAAATAAAAGAACTTCCATCCTTTAGCAGCTGCCCACACCTTCAGAGTACTTCAGTAACTAAATTCAACACTCTCTGAGAGGGTGCTGAGCATAGAGAGGCTAGTGATTTTCCTGCACTTGTTTTCCACCGAAAGGGGAGTGAGGCTTAGTTTGTTGTACATGTGTGAGGGTGCCAAAGGAATGGAAATAGTAGTATTTAGCTGATTTCAGGCCCTTCCTTTCTGTGTTGACCTCCAGCAAGAACTTTTAGGGCTCTGAATATTTCTTCCATCAACATCCTGTTGGCTTCCTTGAAGGTCATAATGATATACAATCACTTTCTTTTGCTTTCTTTTGTCTCCCCCCCACCCCCCCCACCCCAAGCTGTTGAAGCTGGTAATTTGAAGGGTTAAGACAGTGGTCCTCTGGTCACTTGTGTAGGGACCCTAACAAGACATATATTTTGCATTTCAGTTTATACCTGCTTAGACTCACTGAGCTTGTTGTGACTAATATAATATCAAGCAGGGGCTGTAGTCCATGCATTCATACGCATCCCTTCTTCCTGTGATGGTGAGGAAGGAGGGTGGCTGGGTCTTTTCTTTTAGGACCATGGTAAGGGAAAAAGAAACAGACAGCCCATGTGGATTTGCTGATTATTGTCCACTTTTTTTTCAGGAATATTTGTATTTAGAAAAGTTAACATTCAGCTTACTTTTTTAACTGAAAGCCAACTTCAGGGGTTTTTAATTTTTTTTTTTCTAATAAATCTTAAACTCCAGAATGCATGAAACAGCCATGATTTATAAAACAAAGGCTGGATAACTGTATAAAAAACATAAGCATGTATATTAGCCATATGTGCAGGCACTCAAATATCAATGCATGTGCATTTGTAAACTCAGGCATTTTCTTTAACTCACACAGCAAAATGCTGCTTTAATGCAACATTTCTACTGAAATATGAAAAGAAAAAGCCCCAAAGTCAAAAGTTATACACCTAGCAGCAAATATCTCTTGGTTGCTCCTCTTTGCATTTACTGTTACATATTCATACTCCTGCTATGTTGTGTAGCTGTGACCTGACCAGGAAACAGAGGCTGCAGTTATGCAAATGGCTTTCTCATCTCACAAAGACACACCTGAACAGCAGAGATGGAACAATATATGGATATGGAGCAAACTACGGAAAGGTCATAGCTTTCATCATAACCATTATATTTTTGAACATACCACACCTATTACCACACACTTCAAGAGTCTCAGGGTACCAAATACTCTTTTTTTTTATTTAACCTTTTTTTTCCTTAAACTTAACAAACCACTCTCCTTTATAACTAGTTGACAATCAGCATCCTTAGTATTTTCTGCAAATGAAGCATAGAGGATGGATAGCTTTACTGTTGAAGAAAGATCTCAGAGTAAAGCAACACGTCACGTAACAGAACATGGAGAGTCTAATCCTCAGTTGTGGGGGTCTATGCTGAGGTTTTGAATCAATAAGGCACCAATTTCTAGCTTACATGAAAATGCTAGTGTGTAAAAAACCATACAGATGAATCTGCAGTGATGTCATTGGCCAAAGACATTGAGTCAAGAACATGCTGGCAAAACACAGAAGTGCATCAAGTTCTCTTACCATTTTCCCAATCATCATAACATATGGTCCCAAATACTTGTTTACTCCAAAGATGTCTAATAACCGTATATACCAGTAAATAATGTTAACACAATATATCACTCGGCCATCACTCCGAAGTGGCAGGTCTTGTAGACGGAGCACCATCCCGACGGAGAACAGGAGAATGGCTATGAGATCAGTAACATTCCAGTACTCCTGCAGCCAAACCTTTACTTTCTGTAACAGTTTCCCAGGCTCTGACATCAATATCTGAAGGACAGAGGACATGGAGAGGAAAGGGGCAGAGCTGTCTTAATTTAAGATTGAAGAAATCTCTGATAAACAGATACATGCCACGCAGGCCAAAAGCAAAGCTGAATAGACTCCAATCATAAAATCTCTCATGTAACTTCTGATTTTTGTGAGAAATCTTCAATTTCAACCATTCTTAGCCTATATCTATGTGCAAGATACTAATAGGACAAAAAGCTCAGTCGCTCTAAACTCTGTATGAAATCAGAAGAGTATGTATATCTTTCTGGTTTTCAAATTTACTGACACGACTTAGAGTCTTGGAATACAGAGAGAAATACAGAATAATATTTGATCAGAAAATTCACATTTAAAGAAGCTGCAAATTTAAAGAAAAATATTCTAAAATGTGTATTAAAATATCAACAAATAATTAATAAACATATAATCATAAAGGTCTGGATTTAGCATTTAATCTAGAAAGATACGAGCTACCACTTGGACCTGTTTTTTGGGAATTAAGTTCCATAGCTGAGAATATTATTCAGAAAAACAATTGATTTTGTCTTATGAATTTATCATTATTCTATTTGCAAGATCATTTCGGAGACTTGATTGTTTTCCCGAATTACTGTTGAAATTGTTCCTCAAGTAATTTCTATGAATAATTTCTAGCTTTTAGTGAGTTAACAGACTGTTTGGTTTAATTTTCTATATTTAGTATGAGAACATCTAAGCAGACTCATACAGTTCCTTAAAAAGATGAATGCCATTCTTATGATTTTCTCATAATTCATTTTCAGAATTAATTTTAGACCCATCTTCTGTGAAAAATCTCAAACATCTGCTTAGAAAGCCATTAGGACAAATGTTCTTGATAAACTTTTGTGGAAAGGACAATTTGGGGTGAATGATTAGACAAAAGCAGCACACAATTCCTCCAGCAGCCTCCCACCTATTGAGCCAATGGTGCTTGGACTCCATCAGTGTTGCGGAGTCCTTGTGTGGCTACTTTTTCTTTTGGTTTTTGAGGTACACTCATTACAGGCCACACAACTAGTGTCTTTTCCTTTGTTCTTTTTTATTTATTATATATTTTTTATTTATTACCTTAAAACGTTTGGAATTTGTCTTTGAAGTCTAAGTGGTTGTTGCAAGATCATTTTTAGTGTAGTCCTCAAAGGCATTTGCTGCAGAAAGTACAAATGTAGATGGTAACAAATGCAGCCCAGGGGTACAAATGTGCTGTTTCAGCTAAGGTCAACGGGATTCGCACCCACTCACACCAGGGCTGAATTAGGCCTCTGGTGCCATTGTGGAATAAATGCACATTTGGCCAAGTGAAAAGGGCACAGTGGTAACTGCAACTTGGAAAGATCATGAGGGGCAGGAGATGGCAGAACAACTTCACTCACCCTATGGACTGAATGCCAACTTAAATGCTCTGTCTCTGCTCTACGTGTCTGCTGTAGCATCTTTAGGGAGATGCATGCAATTGCTTGACATAATTAGCAAAAATTTTCAAGGTTAAAGGGAGATCTAAGCTTTCCCCCAGTTACAGCTGGTTTTATTTAAAGCCTTTGCGTGAGATATTAGGACAGCCATAAATTTTGAATGAACTCTATCAGGAGTGGGGTAAGGTTTGAGCATGGGCTTTTTGGTTGTCGTGCTATCACCATGACTCCATGCTTGTCCTATTATACCATATCTTCTTTTCCTCCACTTAAACCTACTTTTTTCTGGGCCACATTTCAAGACATATAACCAAGCTTTAAGATATATCAGAAGAGCACCCCATACTTGTGAATGCTATTGAATGTGCATCACACAGAAATCTGAACACAGCCATTCTGTGGGAGAAAAAGAAGGAAAGAGAGTGATTCTTGATTTTGAAATGGAGGAAGATAGATTTTTTAGTGATGTATTTTTAACAACCCATCTGATTTTTCGGCATTAAAAGAATGATTTTATGATAAGCTCATTCATCAAAAATTATACTGAGAAAATTAATAAGAAATATATTAAAATGAAAAAACCACAACACATTACTTTTTTATTCTGTCTTTCTTGGTTCAGCTGATTTTACCTCTCTCATCTTCTCTATTCCCAAAGTGAAAATGTATGAGATGACAATCCATTCCTGTGTAGACGGCCAGCGATCCATCTTCACTAACACTATATAATTGAAGAGCATCAAGTAGCCTATATATGCCAGCTGTAAAAAAAAAAAAAAAGAGTTTCAATAGTCACTATATATATTCGACTGATCTAGTTTCATGGGTATGACTTGATGTTCCTAATTCCACTGTAACCAGAGTTAAACAGACAAATGAACAATCAGACAGTGTTCTGGGTTGTCTGAAAAAGCTCATATTAAATCATATACAGTGTGATATCTGCAAAATACATGCACAGATTTCCTCTCCTCCAGCTACACTGCATCCTCAACAAAATTTTATTAATGCAGTCCCCCTGGATCATCCCACAGTGGTGGGAACTGTGACACAATTATGCCAACTACCAAAACTAAGTTACCTATGTGAAGATTTCTACCTCCTCTGCTTCTAACACCGTTTACTCCTCTAACATCCCTCCTCTGTGTTTTTTCTCCCTTGTCATCTAGTGTAGGCTGACTCTGGCATTCCTGGAGACCAAAAAGTCCTAGGAGTTCCTAGAGGTTTTCTTACCCAATGTAGTACTGACCTAACCTCATCTGTACAATGGCCTCCAGTTCCTCCTGTTTGTTACCCATGCTGCGTGCATTAGTGTAGATGATGCATGCAGCATGGGTAACAAACAGGAGGAACAGGAGGCCATTGTACAGATGAAAATCTACGATCTAATTGCCATAACTGAAACGTGGTGGGATGACACACAAAATTGGAGCACCACAATTGATGGATATCAGCTTTTCAGAAGAGATAGACGAGGTAGGAGAGGTGGTGGGCTGGCCCTCTATATTAGGGAGCGATATGAATGCTTTGAACTTAGTCAATGTGAGACAGGGTTGAGAGCTTATGGGTTAGAATCAAGGGAGGAGCCAATAAGACAGACATCATTGTGGGAGTTTGCTACAGACCTCCCAACCAGGATGAAGAAGTATATAGGATACTTTATAAGCAATTGGGCGAAGTTGCACGGACTCTACCCCTTGTTCTCATGGGGGATTTTAACTTTCCAGACATCTGCTGGAAATACAATACAGCAGAGAGGGATCAGTCCTGGAGGTTCCTGAAGTGTGTGGGAGATAACTTCCTGACAGATGGCGAGGGAACCAACGAGGGGAAGTGCACTCCTGGACTTGCTGCTTGTTCATAGAGAAGGCCTTGTAGAGGACTTAATTGTTGGAGGCTGTCTTGGACAAAGTG